TCTGAGTGATTTCCATGACTGAGAGCTGCTGTTTTGGATATTTTGGAGGTCAGCAATCTCTCCTGGATACCGCCTACCCTAACACAGAGAACCAGGCCCAGGGAGTCTCAGATGGAGGAAAGACCTCGGCCTTTGGGGTCTACAGATCAGGGTTAGTCCAGACATCTGAACATACTCACAACCCTTCTGGGGCCTGGCTCTGCGGGCCCACTGTTTTGTCAGTCTGCAAATAAAACTGTCCTGAGTCTCTGCCTCCATTCCTCCAGAATGGGTGTGTAGGGCATGCTCCCTGTGTCCATTTTGTGTTTCTATAAAGCAGAAACTGAGACTGGGTAATTTATAAGGAAAATAAGGTTTCTCTGGCTCATGGTTCTGTAGGCTGTATGTACAAGCAGCACAGTGCCAGCATCTCCTTTTGGCAGCACCTCAGGAAGCTTACCATCACGTCAGAAGGGGAGGAGGAAGCTGGCGAGTTACATGGTGAAAGCAGAAGCAGGTGAGAAAAGGGAAGCCCAAGGCTCTTTTTAAATAACCAGCTCTCATGCGTGAACTAAGAGTAAAAGAGCTCATTCATTATTGCAGGTGTGGCACCCAGACCTTCCTGAGAGATCTGCCCCCGTGATCTGGATGCCAGGCCCCACCTCCAACACTGGGGATCACTTTTCTTTCTTTTTTATTTTTATTTTTTGGGTTGAAGTCTTGGAGTCTCACTCTGTCGCCCAGGCTGGAGTGCAGTGGCACACTCACGGCCACCGTAGCCTCGAACTGCTGGGCTCAGGTGATCCTTCCACCTCAGCCTTCCAAGTAGCTGGAACCACAGATGTGAACCGCCATGCCTGGTTAATTTTTTTTATTTATTGTAGAAACGAGATCTCACCAAGTTGCCCAGGCTTGTCCCAAACCCCTGGACTCAGGCAATCCTCTTGCCTCCGCCTTCCAAAGGGATCACATTTCAATATGACATTCGGAAGGTACAAACATCCAAGCCTTAGGGATCCCCTTTCCAGTTGGCTGTTCAGAAGCCAGTTGTGCATGCCCTGTGGGAGAAGGGCCAACGACTGTCCAGGTTAGGGCAGTCACACTCTCCTGCTTCTCTGGGGCACCCTGTCTCCTTGAGATAAAGAGCTCTGGAGTGAAACAGGCCTCTGTACAATTGCAGCAGTTGTGAGACCCCTCTGAACGTTTCTTTTTTTCATGATTGCAGCCCAAGCTGACTAACACAAATCATCTTCCCTTGAGTGAGAGAACCAGGACTTAACCCCAAAATCCTGGGTCCAGAGTCCAGATACATCTTCCACTTTCTTACTTTCTATTCTCTCTTTTGCCATAAAAACTTATGCTTACTTTTATGAAATACTTAAATGTAAAACAGTAGGACACAGAATATAAAATATTTCTGCATATTGATTTTTGTGATAGGAAATTAAAGGTATAACTAGGCAAGGAATATGTATGGTATGGTCTGAAGCGAAGAAGCGAAGATTGCAAAATCGAATGGCCGTCGATAATCAGGGTAAGGATTTGGCACCTGGGCTTGGCCGTAGCCGGGTGAGTAAATGTTAACTCTTACTAGTTATCGCCCTTGTTGATGGTATAATTGCACTGGTGCTGTGTTCCGATTCATGAGTGCATCAGCCCTCCCCGGAGGCAGCCCTCGGTCCTTCTTCCTCTGCACCAGTGACTGTCGGTCTGTGTTGCCTGACTGTAGTTACAGATTAACAAGAGGGCCTCCTTCTGGAGAAAGGCCAGATACCACGCAGGATGCAAGCTGGCCATGGAGACAGCATTTCCGAAACTTCATTGCCAGCAGGCGGCTGAATGACTATTGAATGGAAGGGGAAGGTCCTTGAGGAGTGGAGTGGTGGCAGAATTAATCACAGAGTCAACAAGGAACACCTTCGATCTATGCAATGGAATGTAGACAACCCATGGGTTCTCCTCACCACTCAGCTGAGTGCAATGCCAGCATGGCAGGCTGGCACTCCCAGCAGAGCCAGCCCTGTGCCCCCACTCCCAGTGACAATGTGAATACTCAAATGGACAAAGAGAACAGACCTACTCTGCCTGCCCCACAGTCCTGCATCTCCCAGTGTGCCCAGCACAGTGCTGGGAACGCGGTAGCTAAAATCAGGGCAGGCATGTACAGTGGTGCAGGTTGCTTCCGGCGCAAGAAGGCACAGGGGATGGAAATCCAGCCCTCACTATACTGCCCAAGCCCTGAGCCCTGATATGAGACTTCGTGGATCCAGGGGAAAGGGTGTCTTTATCAAAATCTCCCTGGGTGTTTTAGGAATGCTTGGTGATGGATATATTGCTACTGGAGCACTTGATTGTGTTTCCGTCAATGATTGCTGATCCTTGAAGGCTTAGGCCTTGCTATTTTATTCTGTTTTGCACCAAACATCTTTAAGCTAATGATAATAGCAGGTAATGTTCATTGAAGGCTTTCTAAGTGCCAGGCAAGGCCAGGATGAACGTAGCTGGACTCAAAACACCAAGAGGCCTCCTCCCAGGGCTGGGCGGCCACAGAGTTGGCACAAGAGTGAGTGCCTGCCTGTGTTTCATCCCCTCAGTTCTCACCTGCGTCACCCGCCTCCTGGTCTGGTGCCAGGCACTTCACTTCCACCGGCTTCTTTCCCCTTGATGTGTTATTCCCCCATTGCACAGATAAAGAAACTGAGGCTGAGCGCTGCAATGCCCTCATCTTACAAATGCCAACTCCACAAGGGCAGGCACCTTGCCAGTCCCACTTGCACAAGAGTAGCAGTCGGAAAGCTGGGGAGAGGCAGGGCTGGGGTTTGAATCCAGGTCTTGTGACCCAGGCACTCAAATTCTCAACTGCTTCACAGCACTTGATTGAGGTAACATAGTGACAAACAGCATGTTTGTTGCTCAAGCAGGTCAGCTGGGCCTGCAGGGAGCAAAGTGAATCTTTCCCAAAGCCTTTTTAAATCTTTCTCCCCGTGCACTGCTTGCCACTGTAAAGAAGCCTGGACTGATGGACTGTATTAAATGGGCCCATTGCTTTCCCAAAGCACATGCCATCTATTTATTTATTTAGAGACAGGGTTTTGCTTTGTTGTCCAGGCTGATTACAGGGGTGAGCCACAGTGCCCAGCATTTAAAAGATTTTTTAAAACCTTTTCCAAAACAAAACACCAACCAACAAACAAACACAAAACCCCACACAACAATAACAAAATAAACTCTTTCTGTTTCAGAACTCTAGGAAAAAAAAAATCCCTGCAATTTAGAACACTGGTTTGTTCCCTCACTCTCCCTTAAATTACAACCGACTTTAGCATGCCCCCTTTGTTGTCTTGTACTTAAGGAGGAAGACCACCCTGGCTACATACACCTGAGGGCCTGAAGTTGACTTGATCATAGCAGAACCCTGATGAGGGTGGGACAGATGAGGCCCTGGCCTGAGTGCAACATGTAAGGAATGCCAAAAAGCTCAGTCATGAAGTGGAACAATATTTTAACATAACATTAAAAGAAATCAAAATGGATGCTCTTATTGATCCCATCTTTAACTAACAATATTCTATATTCTGTTCATCATGGATGACCGGCCTTTAGCTTTTAATTTTTTAATATTGTCTTCACAGATAATTTATCTTGATGACTGAGTTTTTGGGGGTCCCTCCAATTTTGCTCCCGAGATGAAGTGCCTCCCTGGCGGCTCCCTCTTCCCTTCCCGGTCCCGACCGGATTCTGCATCCATGGCCTCCTTCCTGGGGGACCTTGGGATCAGCTCCCACTGCCTCTTCACCCAACCTCATATTCCTAATTAAAATGGAGACGGTATTAACAGCCTCAATAACACCCACCGCTAACAGTTATTACGTGCATAGTGTTCACGTACATTTGTCCTCTCAGGTTTTTGATCTCAAGACTGTCCAGTGGAGGCCAGAGCAACTCCATCTTAGATGCTAATCTGCCATGTTGGCTTCTGATTAACCCCAGCTCCGAAAGGCCTCTAAGATTGCCAGCATGTCTACTGTTCCATGTGTAAGAACAGGTGCTTACCACAAATCCTGCCCTTAGGTCAAAACCACCTTGTCCTACTCATCCTTTTCCCTATGGTGTATATGCTCTGGATTTAGGAGATAATGGTGCGAGGATCTGCCATCTTGTCTCACCACCCTAGACACAGACATGGCTTCTGTTCATCATTTGCTATTAAATGTTTCATTCTGAGGCTGGGTATGTCAGCCTCTTTCTCCAGCCTCTCAGCTTCTTTGGACTTTGGGGATAGGTTTGTATAGTTTCACCCACCACAGAACATGCTATTAGGCTCATTTTACAGATGAGGAAACTGAAACCCAGAAGACTGAAGGAACCTGCCCCCAGGGCACCCAGCCAGCCTGGGGTAGGGCTGGAACTGTCATCTGATGGTCTGGCTCCAGGGCACCCACACCCTAATCACAATGGCTCTTTCAGGCAGGAAGCCGAGGTTCAGAGGGTGATGCAAATACCCATGGTTGTGCAGCTGGGATTTGAATCCAGCACCTGTCCCACAGGATAGTCATGAGTTTTAAATAAGATTCAGAAAAGGCACTAAAGTCCTTTTCCCGGTCTCCCCCACTTCTTTAGAACAATGCCTAAGGTGCAGACTCGAAGTCGGCTTGGCCATGGGGGATTCTTGTCCTGACAGGGTCCCCAAGCCACGTAGCACACCCTACATGCGCTGACTGCTCCTCAAGACCTACACTTGAAATGATCCTCAGTGGTTCCACGCAAATAGAAACTACTCAAGTTGCTAGGTGCTCAACACCTCCCACGTTGTAAAACTAAAAATTTGGAGACAAGTGCTATCTTTGGGTCCATTTCACAGATGGTGAAACTGAGGCTCACAGGTAACCATGGCCACACAGTGAATAGATGGCAGTGCTGGGGTCAAACTCGACCCTCTCTGACCCCTGGCCTCTGTATTTCACTGCCTACCACACACAACACAGCCGCCAGGCATGCCTAAAGGGTCTGAAAGCAGTTACCTGTTGGTCCCTATGAGAGTATCTTCAGTCCCCTAGTGTCACCTGGAGCTGATCTTGCTCAAGGTCCTGTGTCTCCGGCAGGTGCTGCCTACTGCCAGGCTGTCAGCTGAGCCCCGTTCCCCGCCCTCGGACTCCTCGTCCGGAGCCTGCTGGCTGAATACACAGAGCAGGACAAACACAATCTGGGTGGAGTCCTCCCCTTGCCCCTGGCCGTCCTATAGAAACAGGTTCTCTTCCTGGACTCAGGTTGCCCTCACCACTCCCATAAAAACCGAGCACCTGATTCCTCTCATATTCATGCCTCCCGGAAGACCAAGCATCCTGCCTAGTGCCCCTCACCCATGGAGGCGGCCCACGTTGACCCGGGTGGCTAATTCCCTTCCAGGGTAACTGCAGGTCATGGTCAAAGCAGGGAAAACACGTTCTGTGAGATTGTGCAGTTCTGTCTGCCTTTCACCTTCATGGTCCAGAGCACCACTCCACCACCACCCAACCACAAAATTGGAAGGAAACAGCATCTGATACGCTGACCTCACCCTCCATCATTTAGTCACATAAACGTCATTCCCAAAGGGATTTGGACACTAGAAAGCAAGTAATATGAGTGTGGCTTTTTGCCCTGAAGATAGACCATGCCACTGAAAAGAACACTTCCCCCCCACTGCAGGCCACAAATTAAAGACAGGCTATGTAATTTATTTAATTCTGGCAAGGATTTTTATTTTATTTTAAAGATGTGGGGTACCACTCAGGATTAGGTATGTAGTGGTCATCATACAGGTAAAGTTTGGGCCTGCCTTTGGTCCCCACTTCATCTGGTTTGAGATCAGGTACCTTTCCTGATGTTACGTGCTCCTCCTCCCCACTCCCCTGGCAGTTTCTGGCTACTGTCAATCCCTTTCTTATTTTATTATGGTAAATGTTCAGGGTCTGCTTATGATTGAGAATATGTGGTACTCAGTTCTTTGTTCCTGTGATAAATTACTAAGAATGATAGATTCTAAATCCATCTAAGTGGCTGCACCAAGTGGCTGCAAAGTCCATACTTTTGTTCTTCTTTATAGCTGCAATAATATAAGGATATTTATTAAAATGCCTTAAAAGACACATAAAATACAGTATGAGAGCATGAATTAAGATATAGCAAAAGAAGACAGAAAAGCACAAGTGGAGACATTGAATGAGAACAGGATCAAAAATAAAAATGCATGTTGATTTACAGATTTGTTATGAAGGGTTCTTAGCTATGGCTTTGAGCTTCCTAACAGCTACTGCAAAAAGGGAAGTATGATAAGTTACACTACTGCTATTAAGGGCGTTTGAGAAAACATTCAAGAGAAATGTGGCTTTATTCAATAATGTACTCAGACAGGCACCCCTCATGAATCCTTGTTGAACTTCAGACTATACACAAGCCTGGGTTTAGAAAGGCAAATAAAAGAGGCTGGGTCTTTATCTTCCTCTTGTAGTAAAACACAGTCCTAAAAATATAAACATAGAATTTCAGAGTGTGATCCTCATTATGAAAGAAAAGCCAAGGCAGCTAAGAGAGAGAAACAGAGAAAGATGGAGAAGCCTCACAGAAATCAGCATTTAAGGAGCAAATTACTATTTAAATAAATGCTGAATTCACAATCAGGCATACCATAATTAGGATTGTAAGCTCAATTCCAGCTCAGTACTGTACATTTAAATCTGGAACGCAATAAGCCCAATTATTAAGCAGTTATCATGTGCACACACTGTGCTAATACCAGTCATTGAGGCAGTCTAGCCTGGAAGTTCAAGAGCCCTGGCTCAGACGAACAGGGCTCAGGTCTTGATTTTTACCAGTCAGCTTGTGATATGAGCAAGCCACTACGCCTCCTTACATCTCTGCTAGCCTCCTCAGCTGTGTTTGTGTTTATTTTGCATCTATTTTTATATCCCCGACTCTTAGCACACTGCAAAACAATCAGACATCTACTCTACTAAAGACATAGAGTAGGTGTTCTACAACTACTGGCTGATTGGATTTGTTTGTTCTTAAGTTACACAATGACATTAACTGCCATTTGGTTTTGCCTGCATCCATCCATCCATCCATCCATCCATCCATCCATCATCCCAACCATCCATCCACTCATCCACCCATCATCTCATTTATGTTCGCACTGGAATTAGGATCCTTTTGCACCCATCTCATAGAAGAAAAATTTGAGGTTTAGGGATATGAGTGACTTAGGAGATTAAGAAAAATAATTCTGGTAGGGCACTTAACAATGTGTCTGGCAAATCATTCAGTGCTTGCTAGTGTAGTCAGTAGCAGTAGTGGAGGCAGGACTGACTACAAAATTTGCAAGACACAGTGCAAAACAAAAATGTTGAGCTCCTTGTTCTAAAAGCAGAGATACTGCTTTTTTTTCTTTGTTTTATGGTCTCTCTCTCTCTCTCTCTCTCTCTCTACCTGTCATGTATTTTATTTGTTATCCAAAGTCATTCCAAGTAAAGGAAAATTAAGAACTTAAATGATCATCATGAATTTTACCATCTATCTTTTTATCATGCAATGATGGTTTGAAACTCAATGAATGTGAGTGCGGAGTCCCTGAATTCACACATATTTTGTCACTCACACAGGCATATGTGTTTTGTTCTTACAGAAACAGTAAGCACCGCACACAATTCACTCAACTGTTTTTACTTCACTTCTTGATCCTCACACCTTCTACCAATAGACACTCTCGACCTTCAGTTCCTTGGTGAATATGAAAGGATTGAAAGGAAGAAGAACCCTGGGCCACCCTGTCTTCCCCTTTCTTGCTGTCAGTGTTTTCAGCACAAGTGGTTGAGCCTTGCAGGGAGGTAACATGGGTAAGAAAGGATTCTTTTGAGTTTTGTGCTTCTTAGAATGCTTTGCCTCTTCTCTGTGTTTGAAACACTCTCTGATTTGTGTGGAGAGTGTAGCCTTACTTGGCTGTCAGTGCCCTCCATGTACTCCTTGGTGGATATAACATGCTTGCCTTCACTTGCTTCGAGGATTGCTGAACACCACACGTTGTGAATCTGTTGGGATTCTTTGCTCGTGGACACTGTGAATGAATACATGAACTGGCAGCAAGAAACAACGAACGTGTACTTTGCTTATATCTCATGCACATGCTCCATTGTCCCATCAGCTTTTACTTATGCAGCACACATTCAAAGATAACACTACAGTTGCCCCTTGAAAAATGCAGGTTTGAACTGCATGGGCCCATTTATACATGCGTTTTCTTCTGCATCTGCCACCCCATAACCGCAAGATCAACCCTTCCTCTTCCTCCTCCTCCTCGGCCTACTCAGCATGAAGACAAGGAGGATGAAGGTCTTTGTGATGATCTACTTCCACTTAATGAACAGCAAATGTATTTTCTCTTCCTTACGTTTCTTAATAACATTTTCTTTTCTCTAGCTTACTTTATGGTATATGATACATATACAAAATATGAGTTAATAGACTGTTTATATTATCATAAGACTTCTAGTCAATAGTGGGCTGTTAGTAGTTAAGTTTCTGGAGAGTCAAAAGTTATACTAAAATTTTCAACTCCTAACCCCCACATTATTTAAGGGTGAACTGTACTAAGATTTTCCTTTCTTCCTTCCTTCCTTCCTTCCTTCCTTCCTTCCTTCCTTCCTTCCTTCCTTCCTTCATTCCGAGTTTGGATCTTACTCTGTTGCCCAGGCTGGAGTGCAGTGACACAATCACATCTCACCACAGCCTCGACCTCCTGGGCTTGGGCAATCCTTCTCCCAAGTAGCTGGGACTACAGGTGTGTGCTACCATGCCCAGCTAATTTTTATTTTTTGTAGAGATGAAGTCTTGCTATATTGCCCAGGCAGGCTTTGAACTCCTGGACTCAAGCGATCTTCCCATCTTGGCTTCCCAAAGTGCTGGGGTTACAGGTACTAGCCACTGTACCTGGCCTGTACTAAGATTTTCAAGATGGTATCATGAAGCATTAAACCAAGCCTAGAACCCTGGGTGGAGATAGCAGCAAGTCTTCAAAAGTGCAGACATCTTGGTGGAAGAATTTGTTTCCTAGTGTTGACATGACAGGGAGTTCACTAAGAGTAGAGTTTCTCTGTCATACAGACTAAGGTGGTATTCACCATCATGTTGCCAACTTGGTTTCCTCTTAATCTTGTGGCTTTATGATCTCCACCCGTCTTCAAATATTGACAAACTCATGGAGTTGTCAGCTCCTGTTATCAAACTGCTTTCCTGGGGATCTTGATGGAGCTGGTTGCTGAATTGAAAAGATTCACAGGAAATCTGACATCTGCAAATCTCCCCAATGTCCCTGTCCAGGCCTGCCCCTGCCCACCTTGCCCACATTTCGTCCTCCATGCCAGCCTCTCACTCACTCTGAGCCAGTGTCAGCTATGGTGTTGGTTACTGAGCTGAAGGAGGGCACGGCCCAGACATTACAGTGTGGTCATGCATACATGATGCATGACCTCACTCATCAGGAAGCCCACCGTGCCATGGCTAAAGTAGGTAATCTGATACACGGCTTTGTCTTTCTGTGTCCACCCATGGCTTCGCATTTTTCAGATGACTTTCTTGTGCTTTATCTGATATGCTCTTTGTTATAATCCCATCAACATAAGAATTATCTATTTGGGTAAGGAGGTGTCTTAGTTTGTTTGCATGGCTATAAAGGAATACCTGAAGCTGAATTATTTATAAAGAAGAGACTTATGTGGTATATGGTTCTACAGGTTGGATAAGAAGCATGGTTAAGAAGCATCCTCTGGTGAGGATTCAGGCTGCTTTCACTCATGGTAGAAGAGGAAGGGGAGCTGGTGTATGCAGAGATCATGTGGCGAGAGAGGAAGCAGGAGAGAGAGAGGGGTGGGAGGTGCCAGATTCGTTGACAACCAGCTCTCACGGGAGGTAAAAAAGTGAGAACATGCTCATTACCTCAAGAATGCACTGAACCATTCATGAAGGATCTGCCCTTGTGACCCAGACACCTCCCATTAGTCCCCACCTCTAATTTGGGGATCAAATTTTCACATGAGATTTGGAGGGGTCAACGGTCCAAACCA